CCCTGGTTCATAGACTGGAAAATCTTGAGACTCACTGTGGCTGAACTCCCTGCTGTGACTCACCTGTGGCATTGGGTGCCATTCAGATAACGTGAGTCCTGCTAACACAGGGCAAGACCAACACCAGCAATGTAATGACTCTTGTTATCCTCAGTCTATGCATTACATTTTTAGGACCCTGTGGGGTTGATAGTTTATCTACTTTCCTAACAATACTTAGCAAGCGACTATCTTAACTAATGAACTTAATCTCCTGATGGCCTGACATGTCTCCTAGCACTGTTTTCATTTGTTTTGTTGTTATATGACAAGCATTTAACTCCTCGTGTTCACTTGTTTTCTAGTGCTACATGTTAGGCTGGCAGGTCCAGGTACACAGGTCCTTGCCTATAATTTGACTCACTCCTGTACCTCACTTGTGATGTATACTAAACTTAGACAGCTCGCATCTCATATTCAGTATGCCCACCAGGGATCTGTACTTGGACCCATTCTCTTTAATATTTTTATTAGTGATATTGCAGAAGGTCTTGATGGTAAGGTATGTCTTTTTGCTGATGATACTAAGATATGTAACAGGGTTGATGTTCCAGGAGGGATAAGCCAAATGACAAATGATTTAGGTAAACTAGAAAAATGGTCAGAATTGTGGCAACTGACATTTAATGTGGATAAGTGCAAGATAATGCATCTTGGACGTAAAAACCCAAGGGCAGAGTACAGAATATTTGATAGAGTCCTAACCTCAACATATGAGGAAAGGGATTTAGGGGTGATTATTTCTGATGACTTAAAGGTAGGCAGACAATGTAATAGAGCAGCAGGAAATGCTAGCAGAATGCTTGGTTGTATAGGGAGAGGTATTAGCAGTAGAAAGAGGGAAGTGCTCATGCCATTGTACAGAACACTGGTGAGACCTCACTTGGAGTATTGTACACAGTACTGGAGACCGTATCTTCAGAAGGATATTGATACCTTAGAGAGGGTTCAGAGAAGGGCTACTAAACTGGTTCATGGATTGCGGGATAAAACTTACCAGGAAAGGTTAAAGGATCTTAACATGTATAGCTTGGAGGAAAGACGAGACAGGGGGGATATGATAGAAACATTTAAATATATAAAGGGAATCAACACAGTAAAGGAGGAGACTATATTTAAAAGAAGAAAAACTACCACAACAAGAGGACATAGTCTTAAATTAGAGGGACAAAGGTTTAAAAATAATATCAGGAAGTATTACTTTACTGAGAGGGTAGTGGATGCATGGAATAGCCTTCCAGCTGAAGTGGTAGAGGTTAACACAGTAAAGGAGTTTAAGCATGCGTGGGATAGGCATAAGGCTATCCTAACTATAAGATGAGACTAGGGAGTAAGTATTTAGAAAATTGGGCAGACTAGATGGGCCGAATTGTTCTTATCTGCCGTCACATTCTATGTTTCTATGTTTCAGTTAAATATGCCTGCCTAGCCTGTTCATTAAGGTTGAATTCCCGTGCTGTCTGTGCCATTACTAATCTAGACGCATGTAACCACACTACAACTACACTAGCAAAGTTACTCTAGCAATGTTAACTGTGAATCACCCTACCTTATGCTAACGTTTATATATACCTATATAAAAATGTGCAATTTCTCATGCCACTGTCAAACCTAAACACACCTTCAAACACGCTATTGTGGCGTATGTCGATAACATGTAACTAACTGCACAACAAAAATAAAGAATTTAAAAAAAAGAAGGAAGGTATGTAGAAGAGGATAAAGGTCTAGCTGACTGCCTCAATGAATATTTTTGTTCTGTATTTACAGATGAAAATGAAGGAAAGGGACCTCAGTTGAGAAAAATGATAAATGAGTCATTTATTACACGTGAGTTTACAGAGGAAGAGGTTCTATTTCAACTGTCAAAAGTAAAGACAAATAAGTCAATGGGACCTGATGGAATACACCCAAAGCTATTAAAAGAGCTTAGTGGTGTACTAGCAAAACCATTAACAGATTTATTTAACCAATCATTGTTAACAGGAGTAGTCCCAGAAGATTGGAAGTTAGCGAATGTTGTGCCCATTTACAAGAAAGGTAATAGGGAGGAGTCGGGCAACTATAGGCCAGTAAGCCTTACTTCAGTAGTGGGGAAAGTGATGGAAACCATGTTAAAGGATAGGATTGATGAACATCTAAAAACACATGGATTTCAAGATCAGAGACAACATGGGTTTACTTCAGGGAGATCATGCCAAACTAATCTTATTGATTTTTTTGATTGGGTAACTAAAATTATAGATCAGGGTGGTGCAGTAGACATTGCTTACCTAGATTTCAGTAAGGCTTTTGACACTGTTGCACATAGAAGGCTTATCAATAAACTGCAATCTTTAAGTTTGAATTCAAATATTGTTGAATGGGTAAGGCAGTGGCTGAGTGACAGGCAACAAGGGTTGTAGTTAATGGAATATATTCAAAGCTTGGACTTGTCACCAGTGGGGTACCTCAGGGATCTGTACTTGGACCCATTCTCTTTAATATTTTTATTAGTGATATTGCAGAAGGTCTTGATGGTAAGGTATGTCTTTTTGCTGATGATACTAAGATATGTAACAGGGTTGATGTTCCAGGAGGGATAAGCCAAATGGCAAATGATTTAGGTAAACTAGAAAAATGGTCAGAATTGTGGCAACTGACATTTAATGTGGATAAGTGCAAGATAATGCATCTTGGACGTAAAAACCCAAGGGCAGAGTACAGAATATTTGATAGAGTCCTAACCTCAACATCTGAGGAAAGGGATTTAGGGGTGATTATTTCTGATGACTTAAAGGTAGGCAGACAATGTAATAGAGCAGCAGGAAATGCTAGCAGAATGCTTGGTTGTATAGGGAGAGGTATTAGCAGTAGAAAGAGGGAAGTGCTCATGCCATTGTACAGAACACTGGTGAGACCTCACTTGGAGTATTGTACACAGTACTGGAGACCGTATCTTCAGAAGGATATTGATACCTTAGAGAGGGTTCAGAGAAGGGCTACTAAACTGGTTCATGGATTGCGGGATAAAACTTACCAGGAAAGGTTAAAGGATCTTAACATGTATAGCTTGGAGGAAAGACGAGACAGGGGGGATATGATAGAAACATTTAAATATATAAAGGGAATCAACACAGTAAAGGAGGAGACTATATTTAAAAGAAGAAAAACTACCACAACAAGAGGACATAGTCTTAAATTAGAGGGACAAAGGTTTAAAAATAATATCAGGAAGTATTACTTTACTGAGAGGGTAGTGGATGCATGGAATAGCCTTCCAGCTGAAGTGGTAGAGGTTAACACAGTAAAGGAGTTTAAGCATGCGTGGGATAGGCATAAGGCTATCCTAACTATAAGATAAGGCTAGGGACTAGTGAAAGTATTTAGAAAATTGGGCAGACTAGATGGGCCGAATGGTTCTTATCTGCCGTCACATCCTATGTTTCTATGTTAATGTGTGCTTGTAAGTGAGTGTGTATCTGTTCTTGTCAATGAGAGTGTATATGTGTTTGTATGTGTGTCTGTAAAAGAGTGTGTGTGTTTGTCAGTGAGAGTGTATGTGTGTCTGTCAAAGAGTGTGTGTGTTTGTCAGTGAGAGTGTATGTCAAAGGTTGTTTGTGTCTGTCAGTGAGAGTGTATGTGTGTTTGTCAGTGTGTGTATCTGTGTCAAGGTTTGTGTATGTGTCACTGTGTCTGTATGTGCCTGTGTGTGTATGCGAGTGTGTCAGTATCTGTGGGTGTAAGTGTGTGTATTTGAGAGTTAAGGTGTGTGTCAGTGTGTATCTGTGTGCCACTGTGTGTGTATATCTGTGTGTCAGATACATATACACACTGACACAGAGATACACACACTGGTGCATTAAAACACAGATGCACACACCTTGACACATTGGCACATACAAACACAGATACACACACCTTGACCCACAGACACATACAAACACAGATACACACACTTTGAAACATAGATACACATCTTGACACACAGATACATACATACATACACACACACACATACAGATACACACTGTGTGTCAAGGTGTGTGTATCTGTGTGTCAGATTCATACACACTGGCACATACAAACACAAACACATACACCTTTATACACAGACACATACAAACACAGATACACACACTTTGACACACAGCTACATATACACCGTGTGTGTATCTGTGTGCCAGTGTGTGTGTGTATCTGTGTGTTAGATATACACACCTTGACACGCACCGGCCACGATGTTGACACACTATGTCAAAGGGTTCCACGGGAAAAATTAATTGGGAACCCCTGCTCTATACTGACTGCCAGGTGCAAAGGGCGGAGCTTATAACAATGATTGACAGGGAGCTAAGATGGAGGTTGCTCTCTCTATACTGACTGCCAGGTGCAAAGGGCGGAGCTTATAACAATGATTGACAGGGAGCTAAGATGGAGGTGGCTCTCTCTATACTGACTGCCAGGTGTAAAGGGCGGAGCTTATAACAATGATTGACAGGGAGCTAAGATGGAGGTGGCTCTCTCTATACTGACTGCCAGGTGTAAAGGGCGGAGCTTATAACAATGATTGACAGGGAGCTAAGATGGAGGCGGCTCTCTCTATACTGACTGCCAGGTGTAAAGGGCGGAGCTTATAACAATGATTGACAGGGAGCTAAGATGGAGGCGGCTCTCTCTGTACTGACTGCCAGGTGTAAAGGGCGGAGCTTATAACAATGATTGACAGGGAGCTAAGATGGAGGTGGCTCTCTCTATACTGACTGCCAGGTGTAAAGGGCGGAGCTTATAACAATGATTGACAGGGAGCTAAGATGGAGGTGGCTCTCTATACTGACTGCCAGGTGTAAAGGGCGGAGCTTATAACAATGATTGACAGGGAGCTAAGATGGAGGTGGCTCTCTCTATACTGACTGCCAGGTGTAAAGGGCGGAGCTTATAACAATGATTGACAGGGAGCTAAGATGGAGGCGGCTCTCTCTATACTGACTGCCAGGTGTAAAGGGCGGAGCTTATAACAATGATTGACAGGGAGCTAAGATGGAGGCGGCTCTCTCTATACTGACTGCCAGGTGTAAAGGGTGGAGCTTATAACAATGATTGACAGGGAGCTAAGATGGAGGTGGCTCTCTCTATACTGACTGCCAGGTGTAAAGGGCGGAGCTTATAACAATGATTGACAGGGAGCTAAGATGGAGGTGGCTCTCTCTATACTGACTGCCAGGTGTAATGGGCGGAGCTTATAACAATGATTGACAGGGAGCTAAGATGGAGGTGGCTCTCTCTATACTGACTGCCAGGTGTAAAGGGTGGAGCTTATAACAATGACTGACAGGGAGCTAAGATGGAGGCGGCTCTCTCTATACTGACTGCCAGGTGTAAAGGGCGGAGCTTATAACAATGATTGACAGGGAGCTAAGATGGAGGTGGTTCTCTCTATACTGACTGCCAGGTGTAAAGGGCGGAGCTTATAACAATGATTGACAGGGAGCTAAGATGGAGGCGGCTCTCTCTATACTGACTGCCAGGTGTAAAGGGCGGAGCTTATAACAATGATTGACAGGGAGCTAAGATGGAGGCGGCTCTCTCTATACTGACTGCCAGGTGTAAAGGGCGGAGCTTATAACAATGATTGACAGGGAGCTAAGATGGAGTGGCTCTCTCTATACTGACTGCCAGGTGTAAAGGGCGGAGCTTATAACAATGATTGACAGGGAGCTAAGATGGAGGCGGCTCTCTATACTGACTGCCAGGTGTAATGGACGGAGCTTATAACAATGATTGACAGGAGCTAAAATGGAGGCGTCCAGTTACAGGAGAAAGTAGTGTGAATTCCTATATTTTATTTTCCATAGATCACAAATACATAGTTGTGAAATATAGGGATAAATAAACATAATATTAAAATTCCTAGGTCATGGGGTCTGATCATCATGGCGACCGTACGCTTTCTGTGAGAGCTACTTACCTAGCTCATGCGTTCAGCCGCTAATCAGACACCCAGCATTTTGTACTGACTCGATTCACAATCCTTCACTCTCTGCAACACTTGCAACGATCCGGCTCAGTCCTGCAATGTCTGTCAGCGGCGTGAGCCATCATCTGCCAGAAGGTCGCTGCGAAGGCTGAGGTGCCAAATAATACGTTCTCACTACAAACATCATTGTGACTGAGCCGGACATTACACAGAGTCAGATATAAAAGCAAATGCTCCGGTTTTTATTTTTTTATTAATAGATAATTGCAGTCAAAATAAAAAAAAACGATTCAGAAAGCAAACAAAAGTCAGGCGTATTTCAGCAAAATCCCTAAAATGATTTTTATATACACAAAGGCTCACGTGAAACTCCTCTTACTATGTGTTGGTGTTAATAACGTCTGAATCATGTGCGGATTAATGAATGGCGCAAACAATAATTCTACATATTATAAGGTCTGAGAATTTTGAAGCTTATTAATTTCTGCATTAAATGCATTTCTTCCAGCCGGAATAACGAGATGCAGAATTTTACTTTTTACTCAGTGAAAGATTAAAATACAGAAGAATCTATCTATCATATTTACACTAAATGTTCCCATAAGCCAAGCGTGTTGTGTTTCAATTAAAGGAACACTATAGTCACCTACATTACTTTAGCTAAATAAAGCAGTTTTAGTGTATAAATCATTCCCCTGCAATTTCACTGCTCAATTCACTGCCATTTAGGAGTTAAATCACTTTGTTTCTGTTTATGCAGCCCTAGCCACACCTCCCCTGGCTGTGACTGACACAGTCTGCATGAAAAAAAAAACTGGTTTCACTTTCAAACAGATGTAATTTACCTTAAATAATTGTATCCCAATCTCTAAATTGAACTTTAATCACATACAGGAGGCTCTTGCAGGGTCTAGCAAGCTATTAACATAGCAGGGGATAAGAAAATCTTAATTAAACAGAACTTGCAATAAAGAAAGCCTAAATAGGGCTCTCTTTACAGGAAGTGTTTATGGAAGGCTGTGCAAGTCACATGCAGGGAGGTGTGACTAGGTTCATAAACAAAGGGATTTAACTCCTAAATGGCAGAGGATTGAGCAGTGAGGCTGCAGGGGCATGTTCTATACACCGAAACTGCTTCATTAAGCTAAAGTTGTTCAGGTGACTGTAGTGTCCCTTTAAGCTAAAGTTGTTCAGGTGACTATAGTGTCCCTTTAATTGTTTGTTTAGTTTTATCTGTTGTACAGCGCTGAGGAATATGTTGGCGCTATATAATAACTGTGACTATAATTCTGGGGTGTGTGGGGGATGTAGGGTGTATCAGTATCAGTGTGTGTCTGAGGAGATTACCGTCCCCCCAATCCTCTATAACAAGGAATAATTATCACAAAATCCTCTGATTGTAGCATTTTTTTCAAACATGATTTAATAATAGCCAGTGGCATGGCTGCGCTTGAAGTAAAAGACAGGAATTTTACAGAAATATTGATAAAACGCTGTGCATTACTGCTCTACATTTCCTAAGCGTTTATTGGGGCGTTCATCCATGGTGGAATTTACTCACTAAACAGTAAAATGTAATGAACGATGAACTGCAAAATTCATGTAAAAAAAATTATGTAGAAGAATTCTTTGCAATTTACTAGAAACAGTGATTGAAATGGATCCCCTATACTCCGACTGAGTATATCTGTTGTAAATCTCCCGAGTCCCAAGTGAAATAATGATTACAGCCCCGAGTTCCCCAAACATCAGCCTAGACTGGTTTTATTATGGCCAGATAACCCACATACACACAGCAAGGATACCGTAAAACACACCCACAACACGCCCATGGATTTCTGTGTCAGAATGACCAAGCATGAAAACATAAAATATTAAAAATACATATAAGACATACAGGACCCCCACAAATATTATATCCCCAGATAGCGTGGATATGAGCACCCAAGTTATCCAAATAGCGCCACTGGGGTAAAGTTTTGACCGACCGCACTCGAGGCGTCTGCCCAAATCCGTTCCAGAGATTCAGTGGTAGCAGTCAGTCAATTTCGGGAGTTCCAAAACGAACAAACAGACGAATGGCTCCCCGGGGTCATAGGTAGCCTTTTTTCAACTTGTTTGTGTGAACAAACCTACCGAACATCGTTCTCCTGGCTTGTCGCGGAAAGAAGCAGGCATTCTTATGATTTCACCGGTGTTCGTGTGGTTGAGTGTTTGACTTAAAGTTCCAGACACTTGACGACCAGGTCCCGCTGCCTGCGTTCATGCGACATGATGGCTGCCTTTTTCTTCAGCACATGGCGTTCAGTTATACGAGCGGCGGCCACACAGAGAGAGCACTTAAGTCTGTGGTTTCTTTGTAGATAATGAGCCAAGGGGGTTGTCGGTGTTTAGGGAAAATGTTTCTGTTTGGGAAACTATCAAAACGAACCAGGAGGAAATGGCTTGAGAACAGAAGGGAAAATAGTGAGTTTGGCACATGGTATATGGTCCATAGTCGGGGGGTCCATTAATAACCAGCATAAGTCAGCACGTGATAAACATTTCTCTCCCACCAGGTGTTCTGTCTACGTAACCGGATCCAGGAGACGATCGGCAGCCAACACCCCTCCTACAAATAATCCATAGATTCAACATCTATGAATCTCAATTTAATTTGCAAAAAATAATTGCCTCTTTGGATGACAATTTGATAATGCTCAGTGAGATTCTGGATGAAGCTGGTGGGAGTTAAACATCTGATGTACTCAGCTGTGAGGCAACAGTGTGCTATACAGCTTATGTGGACTCCCAACAACCTCATCCAATGGTTGGCTAACCCTCATAAAAAATTGTGGGAGCTTGAAGTGTCCTTTTAATAATAAAAACCCACCCAGTATAACTAACTGTAACCTAACCTACACAGTGCATCTAACGTGTGTGGGAGCCTGGAGTGTCCCTTTATAATATAAACCCACCCAGTATAGCTAACTGTAACCTAACCTACACAGTGCATCTAACGTGTGTGGGAGCCTGGAGTGTCCCTTTAATAATATAAACCCACCCAGTATAACTAACTGTAACCTAACCTACACAGTGCATCTAACGTGTGTGGGAGCCTGGAGTGTCCCTTTAACAATATAAACCCACCCAGTATAACTAACTATAACCTAACCTACACAGTGCATCTAATGTGTGTGTAAGCCTGGAGTGTCCCTTTAATAATATAAACCCACCCACTATAACTAACTGTCACCTAAACTACACAATGCACCTAACGTGTGTGGGAGCCTGGAGTATCCCTTTAATAATATAAACCCACCCAGTATAATTAACTGTAACCTAACCTACACAGTGCATCTAATGTGTGTGGGAGCCTGGAGTGTCCCTTTAATAATATAAACCCACCCAGTATAACTAACTGTAACCTAACCTACACAGTGCACCTAACGTGTGTGGGAGCCTGGAGTATCCCTTTAATAATATAAACCCACCCAGTATAACTAACTGTAACCTAACCTACACAGTGCATCTAATGTGTGTGGGAGCCTGGAGTGTCCCTTTAATAATATAAACCCTCCCAGTATAACTAACTGTAACCTAACCTACACAGTGCATCTAACGTGTGTGGGAACCTGGAGTGTCCCTTTATAATATAAACCCACCCAGTATAGCTAACTGTAACCTAACCTACACAGTGCACCTAACGTGTGTGGGAACCTGGAGTGTCCCTTTATAATATAAACCCACCCAGTATAACTAACTGTAACCTAACCTACACAGTGCATCTAACGTGTGTGAGAGCCTGGAGTGTCCCTTTAATAATATAAACCCACCCACTATAACTAACTGTCACCTAAACTACACAATGCACCTGACATGTGTGGGAGCCTGGAGTGTCCCTTTAATAATATAAACACTTCCAGTATAATAACTTTAACCTAACCTACACAGTGCACCTGACATGTGTGGGAGCCTGGAGTGTCCCTTAATAATATAAACCCACCCAGTATAACTAACTGTAACCTAACCTACACAGTGCACCTAACGTGTGTGGGAGCCTGGAGTATCCCTTTAATAATATACACCCAGCCAGTATAATTAACTGTAACCTAACCTACACAGTGCATCTAATGTGTGTGGGAGCCTGGAGTGTCCCTTTAATAATATAAACCCACCCAGGATAACTAACTGTAACCTAACCTACACAGTGCATCTAACATGTGTGGGAGCCTGGAGTGTCCCTTTAATAATATAAATCCACCCAGTATAACTAACTGTAACCTAACCTACACAGTGCATCTAACATGTGTGGGAACCTAGAGTGTCACTTTAATAATATAAACCAACCCAGTATAACTGTAACCTAACCTACACAGTGCACCTAACGTGTGTGGGAGCCTGGAGTGTCACTTTAATAATATAAACCCATCCAGTATAACTAATTGTATCCTAACCTACACAGTGCACCCAACATGTGTTGGAGCCCGGACTGTCCCTTTAAGAGCTGACTGAGTTTAGGATATGTTAATCCCACGTGCAGTATGTGCCAGAATAGGAATAAGGGACGAGTCTCAGGGAAGGTGGGACCAGAAATCGATAATATTACATTATTCTTACACACAGATGTGTTTAATCGTGAATTATTTTTCCATATAAACTCTCTTTCTCAGCACAGATTTATCCACTAAACTGAACAGAATTACTGGGTGAATTACAAGGTTTATTCCTAAATATACTGAGATGTAACATATTCCTCAGCTCCCTTTCTATCTCAGATATTTTGGGTTAAAATCTGTAATTCTCTGCCAATTCTCCAAACGTCCTAGTTTAGTAAATACGCCTTTATTGAACCATGCTTTGACACTCGGTTACAGTATTTCTTTATCCGGATGACAGACAGCCTGCACTCGGTTTACACTCCACTCCGTGAGCTTCTGCTCAGCTGCCCCGTCCCAGCCCCTGCTGAGTGTGAACCAGTACTGGATCATTTCATGGATTCATGGGATCACTGGAGGTCGGGTTCCTGGTGAGAAGGGTTGGGTGTCCAGAAAAATTTAACATTCGATATGGTGGGGCTCAGCAGATTATCGGTGAGCACTGAGTGGATATTTGTGTCCTTGCTGCCCACTCTCACGCAGAGTCTGTCATGGGATTTGAGCGCCGGTGACTTGCCAGCTCTTGCGCAGCAGATAAAGATTCTTGGAAATGAAAACGTGCCGAGGGGGAAGTGGGGGGCAAAGCGAGTTGCCAAGTACAGGACAGACTTGAGTTTTATAGTCTGAGAGATGCATGAAGCCATTCACAGGAGGTTACAAAACAGGGAGCAGAATCATTGTTAATTTATTGCACATAATCCCCGGCTCGGAGTATACACCGAGACTTCCCCAAATACTTCACTTTAACTTCCTTCTGTTATTCAGAGAATGTGGAATTAAAAGGGAAGGAGGTAAACAGGGGGGGTCGGTGGGTACTTGGAAAATATACCAACTTCCTCTGTAACGTGGCTCATGAAACTATAAGCTGACATCGAACACTTTGATAACTACAACGAGCAATGATTTGTACTGCAAGGAGTTCATTTACAGCTACGGGAATGGAAAGTCATGAAAGTAACGATCAATAGATTGAGAAATAAATAAATATAATCATTTCATGGTTAGAAATCAGCTTCCTCTCTCACTGGGGGATATTTATTTATAATTATTATTTTTATTTGGGGTCAGACGAGTTCCACTTTCTCAGACAGCCCAGAAGGTTCAGTAGTGAAAAGGTTAAAAATGTTACAAAGAAACAAACTGCAAGTTAACATTTGCACAAGTAAAAAAAAATATGAATTAAAAGAAACTACATTAAAAATATAAAGTACAAACATACGGAAGAATAATTTCATTTATTTTTTTATTTTGAGAATATTTTTTAATGGAGCACATAGACAGAGCAGAAAATGGTTAGAAGAATAAATGTGTGAAGCTCACAGCGTCCAGCAATGTTAGACAGACTGCACGTGGCGTTGAGGAGCATGCAGCGATTCTTGCTCCGATCAGGTGCGGCGCAGGTCTGCCGCATGCAGCTATCAGAAATACTTGGAAAGATGTGACATGGAGGAGAGGGAACTACAGGGAAAAAGGATGTAGGGCAGGGAATGGCTTGATCCAACCGTGCTGCACTTTGCTACAGTAGTGAAATGTAATCTAGTCAAAAGTCCGACGTGGACACCTGGAAATGGCTTTATTATTCCCAAGCTGTAAAAAATGGGTGGCAATCATGGAGAGACAATGTTTTCAACTAGAGTGAAATCAATCAGTATCAATCTATTTCTTAAATCTAAATAATTTCTCCTCTCGTCTCCTGTTACATTGGATGCAAATCTTGAAATGATTATTCCCAAGCTGTAAAAAATGGGTGGCAATCATGGAGAGACAATGTTTTCAACTAGAGTCTGTATCAATCTATTTCTTAAATCTAAATAATTTCTCCTCTCGTCTCCTGTTACATTGGATGCAAATCTTGAAATGAGAGGTTGTGGTCTGTGATTTGGTTAAAGTTACACCGAGCCCGACGTCAAGGTGCTCTCTTAAATGGGGCATTTTCTGAAAATTAAATGGTATCTAGAGGACAAAGTAGAACTCACTGCTTCCAGCAACATTTTTAATAAAAACAGAAAAATCAGAGAGTGGTAGGTTCTATAGAGGAGCTTGATAAAGACCTGGGTACAGGTCGAAACGTTGCAGATCCAATAAAACTGCCTTGAACATATCACAGTGAGTGCCTGAGATTTTTTAAATTTCTATAGAGGAGCATGTCATGAAGGCGCATCATGATGTAAGCTGGGTCTATCGTGTATGGAGAGGGCTTCTACAGTAACCTGGATCCATTGGGGAGGAAGGTCACCAATATTCAAAGGGCAATGATATACGCCTGTATGGTGAGATCACCTGTGAGTAATGATAGGACCCTGTAAGGTGAGGTCACCTGTGAGTAATGATAGGACCCTGTAAGGTGAGGTCACCTGTGAGTAATGATAGGACCCTGTAAGGTGAGATCACCTGTGAACAATGATAGGGTCCTATGAGGTAAAATCATCTATGGGCAATGAGAGGATCCTATAAGGTGAGGTCACCTGTGAGCAATGATAGGGCCCTATAAGGTAAAATCATCTATGGGCAATGAGAGGATCCTATAAGGTGAGATCACTTGTGAGCAATGATAGGACCTTGCAAAGTGAGTTCATCTATGGGTAATGATAGGACCCTATAAGGTGAGGTCACCCGTGAGAAATGATAGGACCCAGTAAGGTGAGGTCACCTGTAAGCGATGATAGGACCCTGCAAGGTGAGGTCACCTGTGAGCAATGATAGGGTCCTATAAGGTAAAATCATCTATGGGCAATGAGAGGATCCTATAAGGTGAGATCACTTGTGAGCAATGATAGGACCTTGCAAAGTGAGGTCATCTATGGGTAATGATAGGACCCTATAAGGTGAGATCACCTGTAAGCGATGATAGGACCCTGCAAGGTAAGGTCACCTGTGGGTAATGATAGGACCCTGCAAGGTGAGATCACCTGTAAGCGATGATAGGACCCTGCAAGGTGAGGTCACATGTGGGTAATGATAGGACCCTGCAAGGTGAG